TTTATTTGAAGCACAATTATACTGTATATATATATATATATATATACTGTGTGTATATATATATATATATATATTTAAACATCTCAAAATAGAAATAGTGCTACTGTTTAAAAATGTCTGGGCTGTTGTCGGAGCATTGACCGGGGAGAGTGTTGGGGGAACAGGCCTACTTTTCTTAAAGAAAAAACTCTATGTGTCTATTTCTTTTCATTGTTCGTCGTCTGTTTTCTTGCGTTTATTTTGCTGATGCTGATTGCCGTGGCACACTGGAGGTCTTGATGCGCAATTCTGATTTGTTGCCTATATACGATTTTTTTGACCGTCCTTTTACACGTTCTTTAAATTGTGACCCACATCCGATTCATGTGTTTACACTTGACATAGATCTGAAACATTGCGCATGTTTAAAGGGGGTTCTTCTTGCACAGATGGACAAACGCGCAGCGAGAGAGATCTCAGGACTGGTGGGAACATACAACACGATCTCATGAAAGTGCATATCTATAGCACAAATTTTATTTCTCGTGCTATTTATACGCCAAAAATATTTTTTACGTGCATATATACGTACTGTAAACGTGCGTATTAAACGGCATAAAGTGTGTAGGCCTAACATATGCATGCAAAAACTATTTTTGGAGTAAATGGCACGATAAATAAAATTTGTGCAATAGACGCACTTTCATGAGATCGTGGCGGGCTTTAACAAGGAGCAGTGGGTCTGAAATTTTAGGATGAGCAAGCCAACCTTTGATATGTTGTGTCAACGTTTGTCCACATTCCTCTCCTACGACGACACAACCAGGGTCCGAAATTAACTTTTTGGCTCACCCAGGGCCGTCCATAAGGGGGGATAAAGGGGAACGTTTTCTGGGGCCCAGCCGCTAGGGGGGGCCCATGCAGTCCAGCAATAATTATGTTCATCCTAAATATAAGCAAAGGTTACCATATTTTATTTTTAACCAAAATAGCACCATTTATTGTTGAAAGTGAGAAAAAAATGCATTTTATTTAATGTTGCTTGAGTAAAATGTAGCCTTAATCAAACACCCCTCTCCTGAAAATGGTCTGAGTAGTCTATTTTTTGTTGTACGTAAGTCAAAACGCCAGTGCTTCGCGCCAGTTCGCGGTCAGCAGCGCAAGTGAGTGACACACGATGGAGTGCGCGAATTGATACGGTAAGACCATAGACAGTAAAAGAAACAGTAAGACCTATTGCTCACCATCTCCCCAGTGTGATTGAAGCAATCGATTGCCTAAAATCGTCCTGTAAATTATCTAATGAGGCCTTATCAGATGCGCAAGGACTGAGAGAATATTTCATGTCATTTACAGCAGTTGTCATGTGCAGTGTCCGGCTAAAACTACTCCAACATATCGAAGATGGAATTTGCTTCTGCAGAGTGGCAGCCTTGTGGTGTGTTCACACCGAACGCGAAAAGAGCGTCAAATACGCGTCTATCGCGCCTAGTTAGACGCTTGAATCTTCCGCTCGAGTTCAAAATTTTCAACTTGCGCGGAAGACGTTCGCAGCAAACGCGTCGCCCAATTCGCGTCATTCGCAACGCCCGGCGCGAATGATGCGTCTATTCGCGTCTTTGCATTGACTTTGTATGTAATCTACTCGCGCAAATAATTAAATACGCGTTCGGTGTGAACACACCAAGATATTGGACAGGTCGCGGGAATGGGGTTGTTTCATGACAATTTTTTTTTTTTTTTTCATTGGTTGTTGCGTTAAATTATACCCAGATACAATAGTGCTATTTTCTGATTGGCTTTTGAGTAGCTCGACTAACAACAACACAGGGGAGACGCGCTTGATTCCTGCCGGTCCAAAGTGAGAGCGACGCGGCCAGAGACATTTTGGGCGCTGCGGCATATTAAATATATTATAAATCGTTTTTCCGCGTGAGAAATACAATGTGTGGCGGGAGTGCGTGACAAAAGACCGAAATGAGTGACTGTCATGCTCAATGCGTGACACTTGAGAGCCCTGTGTGTGTGTGTGTGTAACTATAGACCCCATCACTGAGTAAGTCTCTCTCAGTTAAATGTATGTGTTAATGTAGGAGAGAGAGAGAGAGCACATGCATGATATGAGTAGCCTATTGCAGATTTGGGGAGGGCCCATTCACTGGACCTTTTCAGGGGCCCAGTCATTTCTGTGGGCGGGCCTGGGCTCACCTGCCACAGGGACTGGTAGATGAAAAAATCCACCAGCCAAGCATATTTTTTCCGGCCAAAATAATAAACAGCCTTTTTGTGTCACATATACATTAATTTATATATAGGCTATATTTAAACATTTTTGTCATATTTCTGGTCTATTATTTTCCATTTTTACTTTTATTTACACACATATTACACAATTTACACACATTAAAATAATATTTTTGTGGTGGTGCCTATATGAAAATAGTTCTGTACAAATTAAATGTATTAATTGTATATTTGATAAAATATTATGCAATAATATATTATAATTATTTAAAAAAAATATTTAGTTTTACGCTGCCTATTTTTTTTTTACTCCATTTACTCTGACTGATCCGATCAGGAACTGAAGGACTGGAATTAAATATCAGTTGTTTTAACCATTCATTAAAATGAATCGGTTCAAATGAGTCATTAGTTCGCGAATTGGACGTGTCATTATCGGATGTGTTCGCGTTGTGTGATTATCCCGGCAGCAAGGACATCCCACAAGATTTGTGTCAACACAGAAAAAACTGGATCACTGGATAGGTTTTTTCGTTTATTTAAAGTGTGGTTTATGTCAGCTGAATGTGCGGAACGCTTCAGAGAAGATAATGTATTTTAGCACAATTCACACCCAGCGGTAATTCAGGAAAAAATATATCCGAATGCTCCACATGAAACTATGGTCTTCCGACCTTTTACCATCGTGTCGATTTATTTTGAATAATATGTGACAAGGAGAGAGAGCAAGACGGCGCTAAGAGAAAGAGTGCGTGCGCGCGACCGGGGCTCTCTCTCTGCTCGTGCTTCAGTTGCGCCCTGCCACACGCACTACTGTCGCTCACAGATCAAATAAGACTATGGCGGGACAAAAATTCGCTTTGGAGCAGGAGGAGCATCGATAAGAGGACTCGTTAACGTTAACTCGTTACATTACTATTTTGGTATGAACATTCACCCGCCCGTGGGGCGGATAGCCTTTTGAGATTTACTCGCCAAACGGAAAATCTACCCGCATTTGGCGCTTGGCGGGTGTTAATTTCGGACCCTGGACACAACGTTTCGTCGGGCCATCCGTCCCTTTGCAGATGCGTGTCAGTGTTTCTCGTCATTAAACCGCGGTGACGTAGCCTAATGCCTCAGAAAATCCGATCTGCCTGTTTACATGACAATCGCATTGGCAGATATCTGATTTATTTCCACATATGAACGAGGCCTGAAACCGATCTCGAAATATCCAAAATAATGCGTTTTTTTCTTCTGTTTACACGGTCATAGAACACATCCGATCTGTCACATGAGCAAAAAATTTGGAATTGGGTCACATTTCACTGACAGTTTAAACAAGGCCTGATTCTCTGGTGCTCAGGTCGCAATTTCAATCACACAGCACGGAGCACGAGCAGTGTAGGCCTACAGGAATATCTGGACCACAGCCAATCAGAGGCAAAGACCCACCCTATCTCTGTCTCTGATTGGTTTAGACCACGATATGATCCAACCATGAGTGTCAGTTCCGTCAAAGGAGAACAAGCGCTTCGTTTGTGGAGAGGCAGCGGATGCAAGGACGTTAGGTGCACCGGTGCGACCTAGGACATTTTTTTAGCGGACCCTTACAAATTTTGGATGCATGTGCGACCAAATTGCTCATTCTCTAGAGCCCTGGAGCTCACAAAACTCTGTTTCAGACATTTAATTCCATATCATATATTTTCTACAGCTCAGCATTTCAATATTAGCCTTAATAGTATCAAACATGCATACCTGTCAGGTATCCTTTCCGATTTGTGCTACGCTTGTACTACCATATCCTCCAAATCAAAACCGGACACCTGCAATGCATTAATGAAATCATAACACATTTAGTCAATGCATGTAATTAGGATACAAATAAAAAGTTACATGTAAAGATAAATCAGGCCTTAACTCACTTTAAAAAATGTGATGCTTCTGGAGGACCCTAGAGGCAATGGAATTACGTGATCCAATGTTCACAGATGCATTGTCGACTGAGAGACCAATGCAGTTCTCCCAAGGGATGCTATGCTCCTCTTATGTGGAGTTAATTTTGGTGAAGATCTCACTTGCTGTCCCACATCTCGTCCCACTTGTTGTGCACATACTTAAAAACTGGTGGACAACTTTGCTGCCCATGAAGACCAGGGGCCTCATTTATAAACGTTGCATATACAAAAAAGAAGGTGTACGCAGCTCTCTACGCAATAATTGGTATTTATAAAAAGCAAACTTGACGGGAAAATGTGCGGTCCTTCATGCAAACTCTGACCCAGGTGTACGCACAAAAAAACGGGTGAAATGAGAAATGGCGACACCGTCGGTCGATGGAAGAAACACGTGAAAGTGTGTGAAATTGTAGACCGTTGTGTAAAAGAAATGGCAATTCTGCCTCTCACGATCTGCAGTGTAAAACAAACAAAATCAAACGAAGATTACAACAGAAATGCAAATTAACACATATTTGCAAAAAGAAAAGTGAAATATGTTCTGCAATAATATTGGCATGTTATGCAATTCATCCTCATAACACATCTGTAGCTTGTTAGATGCAATCAAATGGATGGTAATAAAATGCCATGATGCCATCACAATGCGCAATGACGCACAATGGCTGATCTTGCGCTGTAATAAGATGTGGCAAATGGAAGGATTCGGAGTGAACGCATCTTCAGACAGCAAGAAGACTTGCTGGCAAACGAGGCCCAGTGTTACAGAGGAGCACTCGGAGGAAACACGTCGTGCCAGTCCCACTTCAAGTCCTAAAAACAGGATTCCTGGCGACTGGCACTTTTCAGAGGGAATTGGCTGACAGGTCAGGTATATCTCAGCCAACCCTTAGCCTGGTAATGCCAGACGTGTTAAAAGGCATAATAACTTTATCCCATGATTGCATAAAGTTTCCATACACGGCGGGTGAACAGGCAAACAAGAAAGCTCAATTTGCAGCTATTTACGGTTTCCCAAATGTAATCGGTGCTATTGACTGCACTCATGTTGCCATAAGGGCACCGAATGTTAATGAAAATGCTTTCATTAATCGAAAGCATTTCCATTCAATCAATGTCCAAATTATTTCTGATGCAGACATGTTGCTCACTAATGTAGTAGCTCGGTGGCCTGGGTCAACCCATGACTCATTCATTTTAAGACACAGCAGTGTTGGGCGCAGACTCGAGGCTGGTGCTGTGCGTGATGGCTGGCTTCTAGGTACGTTTGATTAATAGACATTTCACATTTTACTGTACTTCAATGTCTTAACCCTTTCACTATCCTTGCAGGGGACAGTGGATATCCCCTCAAGCAGTGGCTGCTTACTCATTTCCTCAACCCACATAGTGTAGAGGAAAGGCACTACAACATGTGCCACAGCCGAGCTCGCGCTATAGTGGAGCACACCATCGGCCTGTTTAAGGGCAGATGGCGCTGCCTCGACTGCACTGGAGGGAGGTTATTGTACACTCCTGAAAAGGTGTGCCAAATCGTGCTGGCATGTGCTGTGCTACACAATGTGGCACAGCTTCAAAACGTGCCTCTACCCCCTGACGCTGATGGCTGTGTTGGCCCTGACCCTGACTCCCATCCCCAGGCATTTGAGCCAAATGCTGCTGCTGTGCGCCAGCGTTTGGAAGTGATGCGTCGCTTGTGAAGAACAACAAAAGGTGTTGAACCATTATATTATTTATTCAAGAATTCCCTCATTGTGCAGTTTATTTCAGTTAGGACAGTCTTAATTTTGCCCAACTCCTTCACCACCTCTCTGATTTAGTTAATGACTTCCCTCTGCATTTCGAGGACTGCATCGCTGAGGACACGGACGCTGCTGGAGGGTTGAGAGCCACGTGCCGTGGAGACGCTGGGCCCAGACGGCTGCTCAGCTGCAGCATCGGAACCACTGGTCCCGCTGGAACACCCAACGACTGAAATAAAGATTGTTCTATATGAATGAACTGTAATCGTGCAGCCTTCATACATGTGACTTGACTGCATTAATTTTACTTATTTCACTTACCTGTGTCATCCGGTGCATCTGGCCTCTACCCCCTGACGCCGAGGCAGTGTCCTCCTCCGCCTCGGTCACCTCTCCACTTAATAGGGATTCCCCAATAATTGCCGCCAGTCTCTCATCAAGAGGGGTCAGCTCCGGTGTCCCCATTCCCCCACCCGTGGCAGACACACTCTGGCAATGGAGCGCTAGACGCTTTTTTGCATCGACTTTGATGTCCGACGGCCACGGTCCGAGGTTGTGAGGCTGCAGCATTAACGGCGTCTGCAACCTTTTGCCACTCAAGTGCCTTTTTGGCATTAGTAATGCCCACACTGTGCCCTCCAAACAACATTTTACTCCTCTTTTCCACCTCGCCAACGATAATTTCTTCTTCACATTGAGTGAAGTTACGTTTCTTGGTTTTCCTCTCTGTGTTTGCCATGATTTCGCAATCGATGAAAATTAACTTGTGGACGTTTCACGGACTATTTATGGGCAACTATGGTGACTAAAGCTGCGCTACATTTAGAATTGATCGTGATTTATTAAGGGAAAACTGCGTAGGATGTGAGTGCGCACGGTTTTATAAATCCGAATATTTCTGTGCGTACGCACGTCCTATGTTTAATCCGTACGCCACTTCTGACGCAAATCCTAGTCAAAGTTTTATAAATGAGCCCCCAGGATAGTAAGCGGGTTCATCTTTTCCACTCCTATAATAATGACAAGTTAGAATCATACAGATGTTCATGTTTCCACTCCTATAATAATGACAAGTTAGAATCATACAGATGTTCATGTTGTTAAATGTTTAAAAATACACAAAGCAAATGTTTTGCAGAGGAGAAAAATCTTAAATAGTTTGGGAAATACCAGTGTCATTCGACCCATCTGTAACAAGGGTATACGGGGCTTTTTTCATCTCCTTCACAAGCTCCTGTGTGAAATATGGTGCGAGTGCTTCATTGGTATTGCAGGATGACTTAGTCCTGGCACACTTGTACTCCTGCGCTGTCTTCGAATCTCCAAAACATTCTTTTAGGAGAGGCCCTAGGTGGTCCGCAAAGGCTAGGGGGACGTTGTAAACTACCAACCCAGCTGTCATTTTGACCTCAGCCCTTCTTGTCTGTAAGAAATTAAAAATTATTAATCCTCCCAAAAGACCATAGTTTATTTCAAATAGACACCAGCGATAATAGATACAGGTAAAAAACACATTCAGCAACTAAGATCTTAACAAATTAAGAAAACTGGACTGTACTACACTGAAATACAAACCACAAATTAGTCAAAACTATCAACTATGACTTTACTGTGATCAACAGTAAACACAAAACTCTTGACTGAACCTTTACAGGACCATTACACATATCATACATTAACCTCTTGTGCAGACATCCCCCCAACAAAGGGAACCGGCATTGCATATTGGGATATTGTGGCTGTGGACTGGAGAACCGGTTGCTTTTCTTGGTGGCCTTTGCTTTTTATGTGGCGCACTACATCTGCCACACCCCGGTGGCAACATGAGTTTTCAATATGGCAGACTGCACACCATTAGTGCGTGTTGAGGCTCCCTCTGGTTATAAATGGCCATAAAGAGGTCCACTCATTTTTGAAAATGGATCTACTGTATATGTTGCTGCTCCAGCCAGAGCACGACTCTTCTGGCCCTGCTGTTGGATTGGGGGGGGGGGGGATCTCTTCTGTCTGTCCTTCTGTGTCTTCTTCCATCTGCCCTGTTGGTCGTTCTATTTGTCCTGTCTGTTGCTCCTCTGCGTGTGCTTCTATCTGTTCTGTGTGTTGCTCCTCTACGTGTTTGTCAGTCTGTCCTGTCTCCTGCTCTCTCTGTCCTGTGTGTTGCTCCTCTGTCTGTCCTGTCGTTTCTAACAGTCGTTCTGGCTGTTCTGTCAGTGTGTTTGTCTGTCTTTTCTCACTTGGCTGGTTCTTTAAATAAAATAAAAGATTTCGCTTTTGTCCTGGCAAAGGTCTCTTACGGGACATCTTTAAAACCTCAAAGAATTCATGGTCATGTTGGTTTAATAACTCTACTCTCAGTTACAAAAACATGCCTACTTCTATTGCACAAATTTCCTGTATTTGTTAAATTCTTTGGAATACATCTTACCTGTTCGAAGTGCTGTTTGGTCCTACTAGTCGAGTCCCAAAATAGATAAATAGCCCTGGATGAGATGCAGTAGGCATTTTTGAGGAAAAGTACTTCAAGTGTTGTTTCTATATGATTTTTAGGTGCTGAATCCATTTCTGCCGTATAACAAGTTGTAAACATCACTGTTTTGGCATAAACAATACAAACAAAATGGCTGCCTAATGGCTGGAAGTGAGAGCGCTGAATGTGGAAGTAGAGAGCGTCTCTGGTTGGGGGCAGTCTTTCTATTGTCATGCCCTTGACAAACATGCTTGCTCGAACTTCATTGATGTTATCAGCATCCTTTACACCATAGAGTTTGCAGAAAAACTGTTCTGCATTCTGAATGGTGTGGTCACTCAGTTCAGGACCTTCGCCAAGCCCCGTTAGTAGATGTGAATACTCTATGAAAACTTCCCAGCATGTCTTCTTTGAATGTCCTGCAATGTATGAAGTTGAGTCACTCCCAGTGAGTGCATGGAAACCAGGAAGTAGCTCGAGGACCTGTGGCTCCATCTGCAGTTGTTCCACTACAGCATGAACTGGGACGTACTTTCTCTCATTTGCTGTACCTGTCTTCAGATCTTTTGGCATGGCATTATGTGGAAGTGGGCAATCAGCAGTACCAAGATGTCGGTGTCTCTTGCAGAGACAACAATTTTTGACGCTTTGCTTCTGATGCAGTGAAGGATAATTCTTGTGTCTGCTTCTTCATGTTGAGCTTCCAAGCTGTCAGTGTTAAGGGTTGTGTTAGATGCTTCAACCCTCTCTTCATCGCTAAAGCCACCTGCAGCAACTATAATCTTGGTGTCTGCTGCTCTCACAATCAGCTGTTGTGATAGAAAGCGAGCAAGGTCTGCCTTGTTGTCCTCGTGAGCAATAAAGTTCTCCCATTTTGTGGGAAGAGGTAAATCTCTTCCCTCAACTGGTCTTCTGATTGCTACCAAGCCTCTTCCACGCCTTTTGTTCCACTCTTGATTGAGTGTGTGTGTGTGGTAGTGATCAAACAGAACATCAATTCGCTGGAACTGTGCTCCACTTCGGAGAACAGTTTCCACAAAGATGTCTGCCAGGTCTCCAAAAGTCTTTGCTTCTTGTGGCTTCCCAATAGCAATGACCAAAGCTTGACCATCAACAATAAGCATTGATTCGTCTTGTAGGTCTGTGGCACCAAGGTGGTGACCTTAGCAAGTATCGCCTTTGAACCTGAACGAAGCTGCCCATTAACTTCTGCCAAGGACAGAGGTACAACGAATAGTTCATGCTTTTGAGGTTGACTGGGCGTCCTGCCTCATATGCAGCAATGAGGCGCTGTAGAATGTTTCTGTCTGCCTTGACAGTTTTTGCCTTCCCAGTGATTGGGTCTGACTGTTGAACTTCAAACAGGGAAGCAAAAGTCAAATATTTGTTCTTTTTCAGTTTGTTCCTGAAAGTGACTCTTCTCCCCTCAGATGGCAACAGCCTCTCCTCTACAAATGTATCCAGTTGACTTTGCCTTTTCTGTGTAGCTGTCAACAGCTCATCTTCAATATCATGGGTGGTAAAGTCTTTGTTTGCAATATCTGGGGCAGGTTAGCCGAAAAGAGACCAAATCTCTGCAATACTGCAAGCAAAGCATCTTCATCTATTGAGTCCCATTTCATTCTGCCTTTTGTGGTTTCATTGTGGATGTATCATCTGTATCCAGACCAAAAGCAACTTTTGTGTCATGGGCAAGATGGGATCGGAAGTTGAAAGACAGAGCCCATCTGCCAAGAGCTGAAGATGTCTTTGTGATACCAACAATTCCTCCTCCCTTTTTTCCAATACAGCCTAGCCACCCCTGACTATGATCGGGATCCACTTGGTTGAAGCGATGTAAAGAGCGCTTGACTACAAAGTTTCCAGCCCCAACCTACTTCTTTACAGGCTGTGGAAGTTGGTGCATCTCGTTCAGGTAGATGGTCCCCCACCGAGCATAGTTGATGTGGTTATACAGCATTAAATAGGGCAACATCTGCTGGAATGCACAAAGGTGCAGGTCCCAGATTCCGTCCCTCTGTGCGCGAATGAAAAATAGAAGAATGTGAACCATCTTCATGTAGCCCCACCAAAACATGAAGTTTGGGTTGTTGTTGGCTTTAATGTAGGCCTCTGTGACTGCTTGAAATTCTTCAGAAGCAAGCAATGTCACAAGATCTTCTACAGGGCTGTTCTTTGTCTTATCTAGTAGTTTGTTAAGGTCACGATTCCTGTCTTCCAGAAAGCTAAGCAGCTGAGGCAACAGAATCCTCCACATGGCCTGCAGAGTGATTTTGTGGGCTCTAATTCCTTTGTTGTAAGACTTCCCTGCCATAACTTGCTCTGCAGTTTTGGGGCCTAGTAGGTTGCCTTCAACCCATGCTTCCAACAATCCAGATGATTGGACGTGCTTGCCGATGACTTCCATGAATTTTAGGGCAATGTGCAGGCCACCTAATCTGACAACAAGGCAATCCAGATAGTCATCATTTGCCCACTTCAACTCCATCAATTTACAGAACAATGCTTCATCCACTGTGATAACAATGTGATGCTGCCCTAGTTTTCTGGCCACATGTTTACATCTCAGCACAACAGTATTGTTGTTAACACTGTTGTTGTTTTTTTATGCAGTGGTCAATTGAGATTTTGTGTTATTTTGCTTCCTTAACTTGTATTCCTTCAGATCAGTGCAAAGAAAATACACAACAATACAAAGCACAACTGTTAACCCTCTGGGGTCCAAGGTGTTTTTTGGGTCCTTGAGATGTTTTGACATACTTTGACATTTGTGCTTTTTTCAGTTGCTTATAAACATATTACTGGCAAAGGTGTAATTACACTCTATTTAGCACACACGGGGCTACCATAATGTGTTAT